AAGAATGTTCACATCTATAATGGATGTTTTCACATCAATCCATGTATTCACCAATGCAACCAGTGAGCCAATGCAGGTTTGGCTTAACGATGGTACAGTGGAGTATGGCAAAGGTCGGCACTTTGTACTAATGATCATCACATCCCTTGTAGTTGGGCCTATTCTAGTTGCATACATGACACTAATATTAGCTGGTAGACCTCTACAAAGGAGTAACAGACTCAGGGAGTACATCCGTCCTATCTATGAAGCTATTCATGCTCCATACAAGCGCAATAAAGAATTTTTCTTTGCAGCTCGAATCTTACTTGTAATATTTTTTTATGCACTATATGCAGGTTTTAGAGGAAATGGAATGTACAGAGCATTTGCCATTGGAATACCATTTTTTGCTTTTTATGCAGCCTTAGAGGCACTGAGTCGCCCTTTCACTAAAATGTCGCTAAATGTTTTCAGCTTCTTTCAAATGGTTCCTCTTATTCTCATCTGTGGAACAATATGGTTCTTCACAATAGAGAACCTCTTAAAAAGGATGGCTATTCTTTTTGTGGTTACAAACACTATAATTATTGTCTACTTACTTGCAGTCATTGTTCTGCGTGTATTGAAAAGGCTTGGATTGCTACAAAAATTGGAATACTTGTATTTCAAAAGGATGATGCCTGTTTCGGTCCGTCGTAAAAATTTGAAGAAAGGCAAGGAATTTAGTGGATCATTTTTTGAAGAATGCAATGATACTAGAGAACCACTGCTTAGTCCTTCTTACTAAAAATTAATACTGTTGTAGTTACTGTGTGCTTAAAGCTGCATTGTATTTTTATCTTAATCCTGACTTTTGTTTTTAAAACGCTTGTGTTTATTTCCAAAATTAAGTACATTAATATTAAAATTTAGACGTTTCATTCACATTATTAATTAAATTTTAGGCCATAAAAATAATTTAATTTCTCCTTGTGACAGTAAGTGCTTCTTCAGTAATGTTTAGCCTTCAAGTCCCTTCAGCCCATGCATACGGCATTGGAGGGTGCATCCATTTTAAACCACACAATGAGCCAATGAGCAACCGGGTCTCATTGAGAATGGCATCATGTAAGGAGAGTCAGTTTCAATTAGAAACCTATCTAATGATAAGTCACCAGTGGTACTTCTTAAATTTTTAAATTCAAATTGAGTGATATGACCTGTAAGTCCTGTGTAGAGATTGGGGACTTTATATGTAAATTTAAGTTCCATTTCAACAGTGCCAGTATAACAATGCAAGTGAATGAACCTGCCGTTTGGTAGAGCATTAAATATAATCTTGTACAAGTCTCCCTCTGCATCTCTGCAGTGTAGGATGAGAGGTTTAGAGTATACTTGTGCCTATTGAAGCAAGTGATTGGCTAGTAGATTGTGTCAAGCAAAATCAAAACCAATCTCGTCCAGATCGACACATTTTGGTCTCTTCCAAAAGAGGACTGAAAGAGCAAGCGTCATACCAAAACTAGCCCAGACATTATCTTCCTCAAGTAGCTCAACCAATAGAAGAGAAGATCACAGAATGAAGTGATGCAGCTGTCAAATTCAAGGAGGTACTCTACTTGAGAGTGTGTGTCTAAGTAGTGAGGGAACTTTTCAACTTATTGATATAACAATATATCCTTATAGTTTTATTCTTCTGAAAAACTGGTTTCTCCTTCACTTGATCCTCTACTTTGCCTCCTTCTTCTTTTCTTTTTGATCTGCTTGATTAGTTAATACTTCTGTTTCTTTTTGCTGGACTAATGAAACTGCTGCGTCACTACTCAAAGTTAACATATCCACTGTTGGGGTTTCTTGATGGTTGTCAATTGCTTTGATTCCAACATGAGTTAAAGTTATCACATACAATGTTTAGTAATAGTAGAATGATGATCTTGTGTGGTCTTCTTAGCAAGAAGTGGACAGTTAGCTTTATAATGTCCCAATCCCCCCACAATAAAAGCACAAGCTCTTTCTATAAAAATGTTTCGATTGTGTGGTGATTTTGCTACTTTTTCTTCTAAGCCTAGTTTGGTTCTCTCATTAGGGCAGTCTATTTTATAGCGTCCTATCTCTCCACATTAGAATAGCAACACAATGACTTCGCAAAACCAGTGGGGAGACATGCAAACACATATTCTTTCAACAAAGGCAGTAATGACCATTTTTGCTCTACTTTTAGCTTTCTATAACCCATTTTCTCAGCAAAATAGAGATTCTCTCCCTGTGATTTTTCTCAAAATACCCTGTACAGGGTCTTTGGCCTAATTATTGAGCAACTTGACAATCCACTGACACAAAACTCTATAAAATGCCAAAATCCTGTGACATGTACACATATTGTACAAGGCATATTTACATGTACATGTACATATACATCACCAGAAACTACATGTATGATTAACAAAACTCACTGCATCACTTTTGCTTTTCCAATGAAGTCATTTTCATTCATTGCACCTTCCTTCAGTATTTTAATAGCAAACATCAACTTTATTATGCCATTGAGCTGCTATTATCTGCTAAAAAAAGAACACAAAACTTTTGAACAGTGATATAAAAAAAAGATTAAAAGTAGAACAAAGTGCATTAAAAAGGCATTTACATGTACATGTATGTAAAGGTACAGATACATGTACATGTACAACTGACTTACCCCAAACTGTCCACTGCCTAGTTCTTTACTTAATGACAGCGCAGATTTATCAATTTGCCACTTAGTGTCTGTAACAGAATGAATGAACAGAAAAAAGTTGTTAATTAAATTTCAAGTGATTGTTTTACAAATTACATGTACATGTAGATATAGTATGTAAGCCTGTACTGAACACTAGCTTCCACTGTACATGTACACTGTACATGAAAATCATATATTTGATGAGTTTCAATGACAAAACCTTAAAAAAATTGTGTACAATGGACTATACAAGAGATTAAAAATCCACATGGATCTGATATAAAACAATTACATGAAAACACACATTAGCAATACATAATAAGGTACCATTAATAGTTTATACAGTACATGTACTGTCAAACACAGTATACTATCTGCAGTGAGAGGAGGCACCAGCTGAGTAGGAGGCCATAATAAACCTATATTACATAAATATCAATTAAATTAATATGATTTCAAAATGAGACTGACCTTTCCAAAATACTTTAATCAGATAACATCATGACATGGTCTCTCGCAATAATGATTACCACAGGATATGCCCACACTTCTTACCATATGTATAGGAGTAAGAATGTCTTTCAAAACAAGGAAAACTTCTAAAAACAAAAAGCATGATACATATACATGTACAAGCACACTGTACTAATATGTATACTTAATGTTGTTGCATAGAATATATAATGTACAAGTACATGTATGCTATTAGGACATTGCCTAGTGTACCAAAATAACCTCCACATAAAGGACACCTCTGTATAGTTTAAAGCCAAATTTATTTGTACCAACATGTCCTTTATATAAAAGCTACATTGTACATGTAATAATTAATGTATTCTATAAGCTACATATAGTTGATGTACATATGTTTAATTTATGACCACCAATGCATATTTTAAAATAAAAAACCACATAAATAATGACTTGTGTGACTCTGATGTGACTCACAGAGGGACTAGTACAAATTCATAGGAGTAGGAACAAACTAAAAGTTGGGGGGGCTACGGTATTATTTTTACAATTGATCATTAATACATAGCATGTACTGAAATTAATATTGTCCAAAATATTGGCGTCTATGCTCATTAAATGTAACAAATTCCTTTGCAATGTCCTTGATGTGTAAATCATCTGTAAATTCTTTGTGTGTATGCAAAATAACTACATGATTAAGACGCTCTTGTGACATTGTGGAGCGCAAGTAGTTTTTAATCTCCTTAACATCAAAAATGTATGCTCAGCTGAAGCTGATGTTAACAGAGTTGTTAAATAAAGAAGTAGAAGCTTGTGTATTTCTGAAAAAACTAATAAAAGTGTGTTCTTAGAAGTTAAACTAATGTATTAATTGTTTTACAAAACGAATCATCACACAATATGCACACATATAAGGATTACCTAAACTAAAGTCTAAAGTGTTGATAATAGTAATACATGTACATCACTTAAAGTTGGAGGGGCTAAGCCCCCCTTCATTGAAAGTTGGGGGGGGGGGCTTAAGCCCCTCCTGCCCCCCTGTTCCTACCCCTATGCTACATAGTATTCATTATCTCTGCTGAGCATACTAATCAACTGACTCATTCGAACCTTGTCTCCTCTGATGAAACATACTGTAGATCTAC